TTCTCTGGTTCTGTGACACTGTAGAACCTGTTATTCTAGGCTTTACATAGGGTTGTAAGTTATGTTGCCATCCAGATATAGCTGAACTACAGCTCCCAACACTCTTCACTTTTGGCTACATTGGATATGTTTGATAGGACCTGCAGTTCAACAACTTCTGGAAGTCTACATGAGTCCCACACCTGCCCTACAACAACAGGCACTATCCATCTCCCAGGGAAATCTACATGATTCTGTTTTATCTCACAAAGTGATAAGTACAGCCATTCCAACAAATGAGGGAACAACTGGTTCATCTGCTACCTGGAGAAAGGGGAAGAAGGTTCAATGAGGGGAGGATGTATAAGCCAATGGCCAGCTCCCTCTTTTATCTCAGATTTCAAAAAGTAGCACCTGGACAGGCCATAGGTGTCAAAGCTACTATTTCATGGTAAGCCACTAAACTGATACGAGGGATAAATGGCTGCTGACCTCTCCTGACCCAGAACTTCACAGTTACCACTCATGCTTTCCTTGTCCCACAGCACAGGTGATAGAGAAAGCAGTTGGACCTTTTGTAATATGGATGTTTGACGTTATGTCCAGAAATGCATTATTAGCAAGATCACAGCTTTCCTGAGCTGAACTGTCTCTAAACAAGTGAAGAGGGTGCTGCCCAGACATGTCACAAGCATTCAAGCAGCAGTGTTCATATATAGATGGACAGTTACCTTTAACTGTTTACAGGAATAATCAGGATTAAAGAGCTCACAGCTTGCTCAGGATGGTGTTAACTCCAGTTCTCCTGTACCACTCCTGTGTTAAGTCCATTTCAGTGCATAAAGAAGTAGTGCAACATTTAGTGAGGTTGTCATCTAAAAATAAAAATAAATCATGGCCTTGTCTGCATGGGCCAAAATGTAACATTGCAACTATGGGTCGCTTGTTCTGAGGTCAGAATGAGACACCCAACATGTGATCATTGCTAGGCACTTCATTCTGACCTTAGAAGACCTCAGAAGTGAGTGATCTGCAGCAGTGGTAGATGCACTGGGTGGCCGGGGAGGATGCCCTTGCAGATAGCTGCTACAGTGTCGAAATAGAGGCCAAGGTATGGGGCATGTTGGGACAGCTATAGGGGTCAGGATACTCTGGGCTGTCCCTGGACTATCCTGTCCATTGCAGACAAAGTCATGGTGGTGTTGCTCTAAGCAATCTTGGACAGTGTTCAGCAATGTGGGATTCTACTGCTTAGGCAAAGTGAAGGAACTGGCTCTATTATTATTATTATTATTAAATTTATTATTTATTATGGTATTAGAAGTAGATTTCTCACTCAGTCTCATTCCATCATTCTTCTTTACTCTTTTCAATGTGGATAAGATCATGATAAGATTATCCGACATGGAAAAGAGTGGACTGGATAAATTCAAGCAGAAAAGGGGAAAAGGCTAAGCTTGCATATGACAATAAGATATATACAATTCCTTTTAACAACTATTTGTCTCTTTGTCTTCCACAGCTTTTCCCTAAGAAGGAGCAGCAGATGGCATAGTAAAGTGAATTGCATTTGCTCTCCCTGTTTGAAATACAATGTTTCTTTAACTTTCATCCAGGCACATGAGATATTTTAGTTCTCTAAAGCCACATTTTCTTGCAAGATTCATACAGAGCAAGACCTTCAAGACAGACATTTTATTATCTTATCACCTGAAGTAGTAAAAAAAAAAAATCTCTGCTTTTCAGACACATGCCACATGCCACACACAGTTTAGGATTTTTTAAAAAAAAATACTGAAACAAAAATTGTCCAGATAAATCAATTGCATTTGTATACATTACATTTTTTTGTGAACAAGTAGTGCTGACAAGTTACTCTAAAACAAATGTTCCACCCTATGTGCATATGTGACTTTTTGCTTGGAGTGTTTGGTTACTGTGCAGTACTCTTTTTTTTTCACCTACAAATACTCCTGTGGATGTGTGGCATTTTTACACATTACAATATATTTGAATTCGTATTAGATTCAGAAAATGACCCCAGATGAATGCACTCTGTGGAGGTTTTATACAATCCTGGATAAAGATGCCCTTTCTGCTTATGTTTGGTGGTGTTCAGAGAAAGTTGTGCATTATGTTCATTGCATATTCAGCATTCTGGTGGACTGAATTATCATAAAAATATCCCAACTTTCAAGTTCTCCAGATTACTTCATTTTTGGGGGGGGGAAAAAGTTTTATTCTTTTTAGAATAACCAGTGATCCAGAACTATTCATCAAGCTAGGTGATAAAAAATGTAAGGGATAGGACAAGAAACAGACTGGTCTGAAAACAGCTAGATTTTGAAGTCATAAGATAGCAATTAAATGCAATCTCCCAAAATGTGTTACTGCAGGGATCACAGTTGAGAAAAAATACTTTTTTGGACTGCAATTCCCAGAGTTTCTCAGCTTTCTGAGAAGCTCTTTGAGTTGTACTTTGCAAGAATAACTTTTCCATACTCTGCTGCTGACTTGAGAATGGGCACCAATTGCTGATCTCGCTCAGGCTGCAAAATGTATTGGGCTGGCTCTGATTTTCAGAGATGGTTCCCCATGCATGCACAGACATGCATGAACACACATGCACATACACAGTGCTCTCTCAAGTATGACCAAAATATCTGGTGGAAAGTCTAGTGAGTTTCATTTCTTCCTCTTCCCATAATGTGCTCTTTTATTTGTGTGTGTGTGTAAAGATTCAGCTACCAGTGTGTATGAATAGTGCAGTCATATAGAATCTGTATAATAGACTACACCATCCACACTGAAAAATAATGTATAGTTGGCCCTCTATTTTGATCGGGGATCCATTCCTGAGTGCCCACAAAAATGGAGACTCACCAATATTCAAGCCCCATAGGCTTGAATGGGGCGTGCCCCCATGGGTGTGCATGGGTTCATGCCCACAGGGACGCACCCCATTGATTTTAATGAAGGTCACCCCCTTGGTGAATATTCAAAACCTCAGACACCAAGTCTGTGAGAACGGAGTGGCAACTGTAGTTTGAGACCATTTTAACAGCCATGGCTCAGTGCTATGGAATTCTGACCATTGCAGTCTTGTGCAACATTTTGCCTTCTCTATCAGACAGCTCTGATACCACAACAAACTACAGTCCCCAGAATTGCATTGCATTGAGCCATTAAAGTTAAGTCAGTTAAAGTGGCATCAAACTGAATTATTTCTGCAGTGCAGATGCAGCCATAGACAACATTCTCTTCAAGACTAGTTTGGCTCAGAAACATATAAATATATTGAGGAAGGGCAGTCTATAATCAGGGAGCCATGACTGAAAAAGTATTCTGAAGATGGGAGTCCACAGAAAAAGACCTCACTATAAATCAATGTATGAGTAATCCATTATATCTCAGACAGAAATTCAAATGTTTGTAGAAATGAACTGATGTGTTTAATTAACCACTTGTGAGCTCCAGAATCAAATTCATTTACTTTAACATTGGCCATAACATTTATCACATTCCATTACAATTCCATTAATCATTATCATTAACTTAAGAAACTACAAGATTGTATGAAAAAGTGGCATATAACACTGACACTGTCCACAATTGTTGGCTCTTTCAAAATTTGGGGGATTTAAGTTGCTTTCCTGAACTTGGCATTTTCTGGTTCTCTTGAAATTCCACAATCTTATCACTGGCTAGAGATGGTAGCATTTCTAATCCGAGACATTAGGTTGGAGACATGTGTCCCAAAAGCAAGAGATGTAGCAACCAATACTTTTAATTTTATCCCTGATCTGTTTCCTCTCTTTCCTTCTCTCCACTTCCAATCACTTCAGGAACATGTTATCTGCTCACTCACTCACTCTTCAAATACCATGGCTTGTTTGAGAAAGAATGGCCAAAAACTTGAAAAAGCTCTGCCAAAATGTCTCTAGATATGTATTTTAGAATTATCTTAAAACAACTTTTAAAAATAACTAGTTCATCATACCAAAATAAGGCATGTCACCTCTATGCATTCCATTGCCTTTGAAGTATGACTCTGTTATACCATTATTTTTTTCTAGAAAAGTGACATGTAAAAAACTCTTTAAAACATTTAATTTGAATTTTGCTTTAAATCATTACTTCTTGTCTCTGATCTCAGGGGTGCAAGGCAGGAGTTACTTAGACACATAAACTGGGAGCTGAAGTTTCCTAAGTGAGGTACTGTAAATCAGCAGGGTTGAAAAGGGGCTTTGAACGTGGGGTTCTAATGTTACAGTTGCCATTGTTCACCAAAAGAGTTAAAAGAGTAAAATAAAGGAATGTTTTACAAATCTAATTTCATAGTTGTTCTCCCTGAAATTTGGTCTTTAAGACAGGTAAAAATCATAAAATGCAAGTCACCAAATGAGAGACTGTCCTTAGTTGAACTAACTAATGGTCTAGGCATCTTGCAGTCTTTCAGACCCTATAGTTTATTAGAGCAAGGCGTGTTTGTACTGGTATTCTCCACCTTTTCTTTTTCTTTTTCCACGTCCCTTACTTTGTCCTGAAATAACTTCCTCAATTATCTGTAGAGTCAGATCTCTCCCTTCCAAAATAACGTACGTCTGTGAAACAAAAGAGCAACTACAGCTGAAAAAAATTACAGATTTGAAAGTCACTGGTTATTGTTGGAAAAGAGGGTTGGGGGGGGCATCGGCAGAGGATATTTGCTGAGTATTTTTATATGCCACATAATTTTACTGTTTATTTACTACAAAATCTGCAATTTGTTTTTCTTTTCTTTCCCCCCCTGATATATACAAACAAAACTTGGGCAGGGTAGTTGAAGATAGGGGGACTTGAAGATCTCTCATTCATATTGTTGATGTGTGCCTTCAAGTTATTTCTGACTTATGGTAATCTTAAGGTATGGGGCATATCATGGGGGTTTTCTTGGCATGATTTGGTCAGAGGAGGTTTTCTATGGTCTTCCCCTGAGGCTGAGAGCATGTGACTTGCCCAAGGCCACCCAGGGGGTACCATGGCTGAGGTGGGAATTGAACCCTGCTCTCCAGAGTCCTAGTCGAGCACTCAAACCACTATGCTATTCTGGCTTCTCATTCATAGGTTCACCATAAGTCAAGGTCAACATGAGGGCAGTTAGGAGCCCTGGTGGTGCAGTGGTTAAATGTCTGTACTGCAGCCACACACTCACAAACCACAAGGTTGTGGGTTCAATACCAGCCAGGGGCTCAGGGTCAACTCAGCCTTGCATCCTTCCGAGGTCGCTAAAATGAATACCCATCTTGATGGGGGCAATAAGCTTACCATTGTAAACCACTTAGAGACTGCTTAGAGTAGTTTGAAGCAGCATGTAAATGAAGATGCTATTGCTTAATAACAGTGCAAACAATGCTGCAAAACATTTATCTGCCCTGTTTTTATTCATTCCCAAGCTCTGGATCTTCTCCCTAGGGACATGGATGATGTTTTGTTTTTGTTTTAAAGAGTTTAAATTTTAATAATGTAATGTTTGAATTGTTTATTTGTTTTTTAAACTTTGTATTTTTAATGTTTTATACTGTTTTAACTTGGACTGTTTTAGATTTGTTAGCTGCCTTGAGTCCCTATACTGGGAGGAAGGCGGGTTATAAATAAACAGAATAATAATCACATTTCTGGTTTAACAAACTTCTAAAGCTGCTTTGCAAACTACATTTCCCTGCTCCAGGTCCTTTCCTCTAGTTTTGTCCAGTAACAGATAAATTTGTGTTATGTGATTCATTCGACTGTTACTACAGTTGGCTCTCCCTATCCACAGATTCTTTATTTACAGATTCAAGCATCCATGGCTGGGAAAAAATAAATATATACAAATTCCAAAAAGCAAACCTTGATTTTGCCATTTTATATGTGCCGTTATTTTACTACACCATTATATATAATGGGACTTGAGCATCCATGGATTTTGGTATTCACAGGGGGTCCTGGAACCAAACCCTAGCAGATACTAAGGACCCACTATAAATCAAACTGAGTCCTGTGCATAAAATTAGCTCTTGACAACATACTCAACACTCCAAATGTTCCAGTTTGGCAGGGACAGTCCCAACTAATACTCTGCCACCCCACTTTTTTCAGCTGCTTTGAAAGTGTCTCCACCTCTCGCTTTCCCCCTTTGTCCTTAGTTTACTTAATTGCTTCTAACTGAATTCAAAGTGCAAAAGTAGGTTTCACTCAGTTTACTCAACAGGGAAGAGAAGAGAGTAGGCGTCCTCACAGTGCAGGGAGGCAGGGCTTCTGGGGGCATGACTTCCTGTGGGAATTCCAGGGGTTGAGTCACATGGAAAGCAGCCATGTGGGCTGTGGAAATGGCCACTGCCCACCAACCCACCCACCTGCCCACCCAGAGACCCTTCCTCTGAGGCCTGGAGAACCCCCTGAGGCCCAGGAAAACTGGCACAGGCCAAGAAAATGGTGGCATGGCCTGGAGAAATGGCCGCCCACCACCCACCTGGGCCAGATACCCTCCCCCTTGAAGCCCAGAGACCCCCTGAGGCTTGGGAAAACAAAGGTGTAGCTGGGAAAACAGCTGCCCACTGCCCACCCAGGCTGGAGATTCCCAAAGAGTGTCTTCAGGGGGCAGGGGGCTGACCAGGTATCACCTCACCTCTTCTGTGGTGTCACCCCCTTCTTGGGTGTCACCCGGTGTGGCCCGCAAGCCTCCCCCCATGCCCCCCATGGATGCTACTGGGCCACAATCTGATGTTGCTTGGCCACGTGTATTCCAGTTTACACCTGTAAAATGTTGGAGGAGATGAAGATATTTAAATGGTTTGGGGAAGGCTTGGTTTTGTTTTGCCTCTTGGCTAAGACCATTACCCTTCTCATTCATCTTGTCAGTATCTATCCAAGAGGCACCATGTTAGTTTTCTGCACTCCCACCCTCATGAAACCTTCATTTCCTTTTTGTTTCTTTTTTTTAACTTTTTTTAAAGCTTCAGTTCATTTTTGTTAAAACTTTCCCAAAATGTTTAAATCTCTTCCAGTACAATCAGGATGGAAAGAACCTGAGATGTTTTGTTATTCAATGAATGGGGACAAAACTGAAACTAACAAATTCATCCATGCTCCAGAGCACAAAAGAAGCCATGTTGGTTTAGTCCAAAGGCTTATCTAGTCTAACATGCAGGCCAGAACTCTACTTAATCCTTAAAACTCTATGTTTGCATCTCCATGTAATCAACCTCTTTTTTTCCCCACAGGATTTGAAGAGATCTTCCAGCACCTTTGAGACTAACTGAAAGAAAGAAGTTGGCATTATGAGCTTTCATGGACTTCATTCTACAAAAGCTGATACTGTCAACTTCTTTCTTTCAGTAGTCCCAAAGGTGCTACAAGATCTTTTTACATACTGAGCTTAGAGACTGCGCATGACTATATCTTTGAATTCTCACAGAATTCTCATCTTTAACACTGACTTGGGTTTTTTTAAAGTTTTGGAAAACCAATATGACAGATTTTCACACCTCTGTTAATGATAATCTCAGCTGATGAATGTCCATTTGGATGGCTTTTGGAAGCATACTTCACAATATTCAGTTTTGTAACATATGAGACAATTACATATGATAACAAACATCAGAATCTAATGTAATTACAAAACAAAGGAGAAACAGAAATTAAATCTAAATGTTGTCAGCCCACCATATCCACTGAATCTACATCCATGGATTCAACCATCCACAGCTGGAAAATATTTTTTTTTAATTTCCAAAAAGCAAACCTTGAGTTTACCATTTTATATAAGTGATACTATTTTGCTATGCCATTGTATATAATGGGACTTTAATATCCACAACTTTTGGTATCAGTGGGGTTGGGTAGGTCCCAAAACCAAACCTCAGCAGATACCAAGGACCCACAGAAAATTTCAGAGAACCTGAACAAAATAATTGAATGAATAACCAAAGTTTAGACCATATCCATTATTCATTTATTTTACAAGGGTCTGTAAAGATCTATCACTCAGATTATTTCTAAACATCAAATCATACTCTTCAAGAAATCTATCATAAGCCAAATCACACACATACAGACATGCGAACTATTTGCTAAAATATAGAGTTGGAAATTCCAGTTAATGAACTCCATCATCTTGTCCAGTGTTGTTGTTGTTGCTGTTGTTTTTTTAAAAAAGTATGGACATCTCATAGCTGCCATCTCAATGTAATAACCATAAAGTCTTTCCAATACCTCAGTATATTTCTGTCAAGCTGATAGAAATGTCTAGTAGGCAATAATCCATTTCAGTTTAAACATTTCACTTCTGTTGGGCTTCAGTTGGGTTGAATTTTTGGGTGTATTAGACACTATGTGATCAAGAGCAACACAGGGGGATATTTTCAAAAGCCTGACTTTGGTATGCAAAAAACAACTTTGAAACATCTTACCTTTTCCCAAGTAGTTCCTCTCCTTTCAAGAGCCTAATAATAAATCCTGTCAGAGACACTGCTGGGCACCTTATCCTATGCAGCAGTGCTGTAATGACTTCTTAAACTAAACATTTATTGTGTACAGCCCACATATGTAAATCAAATCACTTATCTCCACCTACCAAAGAAAAGTTCAAGGAAGGAAAATGGTGACCGAATGGGTTTGCATTCCAGAAGGTATTGCAATAGTAGGCATTCTCTGGCACTCACTTGCTTTACTTGAAAAGACACATCACTTCATGAGAAAATGACACATCCATTACATACAAGGGGAAAAAAGAACTTCCTTGTCTGTTTATGGTTGTATTTTCTCATCCAAATCATAACGCATGAACAGGTGACTTTCTTGGACACACCTGTGCCACTATATGATGGATGTGCTTGCTTAAGTACATTAAAACAAGATTTCTGTTTTCATGTGCAGAAGACACATAGGAAATGAGAGTCATGCCCTCTCTGCATGTTAGCTAAGATTAAATAGCTAGTCTTGCACAAAGACACTAATGTAAGGCCCCTGAAATCAACAAGGATGCTTCCAAGTCAATGTATGGGGGGGGGGGGGGCACCAAAGACCATCTTTGATGAAATGCAGATTGCATGGAGTGAGCATACATTTCTGCTGGGCAACATTCTAATTCCACTGAAGGGGAGGGCAGGGTGGGTTGGGGTTGGTCTATAGAAGTCCCTCATTCATAGAGTTGCCTTACAATGAAGTAGTAGTTGTTATAGTTGTTAACTGCTCTCCAGTTGGCGATCCTGTGGATGAGACATCTCCAAGACCCCCTGTCCTCCAATGTTCTGCTTATTTTCTGCCAATGAATACCCGTGACCTCCCTAACAGTGTCCATCCATCTAGCATGCAGCCTTCCTCTCTTTCTACTTCCCTCCACCTTTCCAAGCATTATTGTTTTTTCCAATGAGTTGTGCCACCTCATGAACTGTCCAAAGTACAACAGCCTCAGTTTTGTCATCTTGGCTTCCAGGGAGACTTCCAGCTTGATCAGCTTTAGGGCCCATTTGTTTGTCCTTTTGGCTGTCCATGGAGCACTCTTCTCCAGCACCACATTATCGCAAATGAATTGATTTTCTTCCTATAAACTTTCTTAAATGTCCTGCTCTCACATCCATACATGGTAATAGGGAATACAATGGTTTGTATGATTCTAACTTTTGTGCTGAGTTGTATATTTAATACTTTTTTAACAGGGGAGGGCAGGGTTTGGGGGTTTTTTAGACTGTATTCTTGGTGTAATTTTAACTGTTGTAAGCCGCCCCAATTGTTTTTAACAGAGGGGCAGGGTATAATAATACATTTTATTATTATTATATCTTTGCATTTTAGAATCTTTTCTATTTCTTTCATAACCACCCTCCCCAATCTTAATATTTTTCTAATTTCCTGGCTGCAACACCCATTGCTATCAATGTTTGACCCCAGGTATGAGAATTATTTTACTATTTCTATTTCCTCATTGTCTAGGTTGAATTTGTGTAAATTCTCTGTGCTCATTATTTTTGTTTTCTTTATGTTCAACAGTAAGCCTGACTTTGCACTTTCTTCCTTTATCTTTCTTAGTAGGTATTCCAGGTCTTTGAGGTTTTCTGCTAGTATTATGATG